AATCGATAATCAAATTATCGATAGCATGATCGATCACTGCACTTACCTGTATGCCTTGTTTTTTCACATAAAGTGATCGATAAATCAGCTCTTTGACTTTACAGGATTAAATCTCTTTGTTCTATTTTATCAATCACTTGATCTATCATTCATTAATCGATCACCTATTCGATAATTTACAAAGTCTGTGTTTTCACTAAATATACTTCTGGTTATTGTTTATCGATAAGTTTATCCATCATCTATTTATCTATAATGTGTTCGATCATTATTGCTTTAAAATCTATTTCTATAACACCTTGTTTATCGATAGCCTGATCAATCAACAAGTGTTCGATCACTTGTTCGATCATGGAGCAATTTCAGTTTAAACTTCAACCAGTCACGATGTTTCTCAAAATTTATCATCTATTTCATTCAAGCTTTTCTCAGCCTTTATGTTTATCTTAATTCTCTATTTAAAGAGATTCAAAATCAAAAGTGACCTTGATCTTCATTTTCTCTACATACCAGTATGAAGTCATTGTTTCCTTTTATCAATCATTTGATCAATAAATCATTAATCCATCACTTGATCGATAAACTTAGTTATCTATTTCAAAAGCTCTCACTCTAAATAATCGATAACCTGATCAATCAACCAGTCATCAATCATTACTTTGATCAAGGATGTCCATTTATTGTTCAACACATTTAACAAATGATTGATTCTACTTGTAAACTATGAATGTTCATTTTATCATTTGTTTGTTTTGATCTTACTCTGCAAAGAAAAACTTATTGAATTAAAGTATTATTGCGGATTACGAAGAAAATTTTTCAAAATTTTTATAACTCACCCAATTCACCCCTCTCTTTGGTGAGACTACCACTAACAAATACGTCCACTCACAAGTGGACAACATCTTCCATACATTTACAGTGTAATTGCATTGATTTCAGTACAGTACTTGGGATACCTGGTCATCAAGTACCATCCTGAAATATTTTAACCACCATGTCACTATACAAAATATATACCAACCCACCACCAAAAATACTAAATGGGTTGTCTTAGCTACTTCCCCACCCTATCCAAAAAATTATATATTGGGATTCATTCATGTACAAAAGTAGCTGTATATTAAACCAAAACATTACTATTATCAGCAATAAAGTCACATAAGGTTCGGGTTACTGCAAGTCTTTCTCGTGTGACCACCTTCACCACATCTTGAACAATGATAAACTTTCTTGTCCTGAAATTGTGACTCAATCCTGCTAACTCTAGGCCTTTCACGATACTGAGTAGTCATTGGTGGTTTAGAAAGGTAGGTGATGAGTATTCTTCATACCTAAGGGAATTTGGCCTAAGAATGTCTATGATAAATTTTTTCTTGAGTTGGGAGTACCACATATGCATATAAATTACCATATATCTTCTTGATTGCGACACATGCATGTGGGCATGGCAGTCCTGACATCTGCCAACCTTTGTAAGTGCATTCACATAATATCATATTTACTTGCACATCTATGTTTCCCACCTCACCCTAAATGTGTTCATTCCATAATCTTGTACATCCATTCTTTCCGATCTAACCACATGATCTATCAATTTTTTCTCTATATTTGGTCCCACACCATTGGTCTAATTGTTTATCACTAGTTTGCTACGATACATCTTATTTGCTAATTTTTTCCTATGCTCATGTATCAAGACAGCAATGTTGTGCTTTCTCTCATAAACAATCCAAGCATTGAAGGATTCAGCCAGGTTTGTCGTGATATTGTCCCATCTCTTGTAAGGAAATTTACTTTGTACCCAATGCTCAATGTCGCCATTCCTTTTCAGCCATTCTCCTAATTCTGGACAAAATCCCATTAGCTTCTCCATACTACGATCAAAGTCCCTATCCAGTCTTGCATATGCAATTAAATCAAGTAATTTCAGAGCAACTTACTTTGTTTGTCCATTGGTCTTCCCCTTTCCCCTTGTTATTTTTAAGAACTCAGCACTGTAATTCTCTTTTAGATATCAATAACAAAAAGCATGCCAATCTCCTCCAAACACAGCTTGCACTTTGATTGAGTTGTGCCTATTCGAAACTATTACTAATTACAATGATCCAATAATATCCTTTGTGTTACCTAAGAACCATACCCACTAGTCGAAAGTCTCACCCCCCACAATTGCATATGCAAGCAGAAATAACTCATTGTCTACATCATAAGCTTGTGCTCCCAACAAAGTCCCTTTGTACAGACCAATCAAGTGGCATCCATCCACATATAGTATGGGTCTACCACCTTCCAAAAACCCTTTTATACAGCAGCCATACATAATAAATACAGCTTGAAATCTATTATCTGATGATGCAACTTACTTTGCTATAGTCCTTGGATCAATTTATTTTAGCCTTTCACATATCCAAGTTATTAACAAATAAAAATTCTCTGGATGACCATGAATCTAGGCCAGTGCTTTCTCTTTCGCCCTATGTGCTTGCTGGTAGTTGAGGCTTAACCTATACTCTCTCTCCAGATTTTGTCTAATTTCATTAGAACATTTATCTATGCTAGAACTCAATTCATTTACAATCACTCCTGAAATAAGTTTGCACTTCTTCTTGTAGGGAACAACTAAGTTGTCTTGCACATAATGCAAGTGTTCATAATCAAATCTTTTTACAGCTAGGAATTCATTCTTCTTGTCTACACCATAGGTTAAAACTTGTCGTGGACAATCATCCACACTGCAGTTGACAATAATCTTATGCTTATCATTCTTCACAAATAGGTATCCAAACTTGTGTGCCAGGCTAAACTTATATAATGCTTCTCTGAAATGTGTAGCATTAACAAAAGTTTAACCTTTTGATATCAACAGATCTGTCCAGTTTGCAAAATTCATCATGGCCATTGGGGTTGGCAACATTTCAGCACCTAGACTTCTAATATTTGACTGTCTTCCCCATCTTTTAATCCCTATCGGTGCTGCCACATCTTCTGTTGGAGATGTGTCCAGGCTACCCATGTCCTGATCGAATACACTTGGAGATACTGACCTTACAAATGAAGGCCCAACCAAATCATCTATTCTGCATACATAAATACAACATGTGAGTTTTGCAATTCAATTCTTTAAAATTATACCAAAATCTTAATAATTCCAATTAAAAACAACTTACTCTGGTGCACTCTCCAACTGTGACCCTTGTCTCAACTCTTTTTCATTGTTGGATATATAAACATGCCCACTGTTATCATTGTATTCAATTAATTGGGCAACTCCAATATCATCAACAAGGTCCAAGAATGTTCCTATGTCAAATCTAACTGTGTACTTCATTTTATATTGACCCCTCCCTGACCAAACATCATCTGCTGCCATTCTTTATAGTTCTTCGGATATCATCCCTTCTATGATCAATCTCCCACTTACAATACCCCCTTCATATATCAATTTTCCATCTGGGGTATTCACAAATTCCCCTCCCGTATGGAAGAAGCAAAACAATTGTTTCCCACCACTAACAGCCATTTATAATTCGTTCTTGCGCATCCTTCAGCTTTCAATTTCAGTCACCTACAAACAGTAATAGACAGTATACATTAACAATACAAATTTCCAATTTGAAGATAGAAATATGCGTCCTCACAACATTAAATTGCCATTTTCCTACGCTACTCCAATTTGCTAGGTCACAATCCGAATACATGTTTTCACAACTTCAGGTTATCATTTCTCTGCACTTTTACCTTTCACATTACCCATTTCAGCACATACACCCATTTCCCTTTCATCCATCCTCAAGTTTCTTCAACCACACATTTTGGTCACTATTCACCCCTCCTCACCCATTCTCACCCATTCTCATCCACTTTTGAAAATGTTTCAAAAATCACTGACACCTCTTGTTTATTAACTTCAAACAACACAATAACAGTCTCTTCCTAAAATTTAAAGCACTATCAGATTTTTTTCCCCTCAGTACCTAGTTACCCATGTATTTAAACACTCATTTCTCCATTATTTAGGCACCACAACCCAACTGTGCTCAACAAGTCAGCTCAACAAAATGAATACTTGGAGAAAAAAAATTTACCTCACACACCAAGCACTAGAGACGATCACGACGCCACACCGTAAGCAGGGGATTCGGTTTCTCTCACTACCACCAACACTGACGATGAGTTTTCACAGACCACCGACAGATGCACCTTCAGACTGATTATCACCCACTGCATTTTCTCAGCTCATTCTTGTCAATCACCTCCCTTCATCACTATATGGGTATAGGAACAACTGGCGCCAACTTCCCCCTTTTCCCTTTTTCTTCTACCTTTTCAACTCAGCAAATTTCAAAGGGTATTTAAGTAAATTGGGTTGAGGAATTAATTTCAGTGTGCCCCTTGGATCTTTCAGTGAAATTTCAGAATCCTGAACTGAAATTTCAGATTTTTTGGGAGGCTCTTTGAAATTAATTCCTATCTGTAGGCCTTAATCGAAATTTTCTTTTAAAAAATAGATAAATATGAGAAACAAAGTGAATTGTGGTATTATATTTAGGATCAAAATAAAAATTAAATGAGTAGTAATCAGATCATTTGATATAAAAAGTGTATATTTAAATTTAAATTTTAATATTTCAATTAGATTAAATTGGGATCCTCTCTTTTACTACCTCCGATCCTAATTATAAGAGCTAGTTGACTAATTTGAGGAGATTAAGAAAGTAAGTTGAGTTAGTTATTTGTCCTAAATATGTATTGTCTTTCCTAAAATATCTTTACTAATCAAGTGTATTGACTAGAACTATCATTGTTAGAAGGGCTACTTTGGAAAAAAAATATATAGAAATATGATAGACAAAGTGGATTGGGGTCTTATATTTAAGACAAAAATAAAAGTCAAATGGGGTCTTATACTAAGTATCCGAAGTAGTATTAACGAAGTTTTGTTGTCAGCTGTGATGCTAGTTTCATTAGTTCGTCCTTTACTTCTGTACGAGGGCAGAATCACGGATGAAACAATGCTTTATCAACGGCCATGTCCAGAATCCTGAGTATAAATGCCTTCTTTTTCGCATTTCTTGGCATTTTCCTTAGCAGCAAGCAACACAATCACTGTACACTTTCGCTCTGCTTCTCAAACTTGCGTGATTGGAGCTTTCTGGAGTTGGTTTAATCCCTTGAACTGCTTCTCTAACTGGTATTCTCTCTCTTAACTCTATTCCTTCTCTTGGAATTTGAATTCTTTAATCCTTTTTTCACTGCTCCGTTCCATGTGTTTCATATAGTTTTGTTTCTTTGAAATCTCCGATGAATTCCTGATTTCCTTCTCATTTTCCTTCTGAAAGCAGGCTTACTAAGTGGCAATTTGGATCAACTCGAAAGTATCCCTCTCTTGTTCACATAACCCTTCGGAAAATACCAAAATTGACTGATTTGAAGTTTAAGTTGAATTTCCGACAATGCTTAAGTTCTTGATCTTGTTTGTACTGTGCTTCACCTCTTCCGCACTTGCTGAGGGAGTAACTTGCTCGAATATTGTACCATTGAAGAATCGGAGATATAATATTTCTCTGACTGACTTTGGTGGTGTCGGTGATGGGCGGACATTGAATACTAAGGCCTTTAGGGAGGCCATACTTCAGATTCAACACTTGGGAAGGGAAGGGGGTGCACTTCTTCACATACCTCCTGGGGTTTACTTAACAGGGAGCTTTAATCTTACCAGTCATATGACGCTTTACCTTGCCCCTGGTGCTGTTATTAAGGCCACACAGGTATGAACCGTTCCAACTTCTGTTCATGTTTTTTCTTTAAAAAGAAATAATTATGCAGAGCTTTTTATTTAAGTTAATTTTTGTATGTCTAATTGACATATGTATTTCGGTCTCTCAGTTTTTCTGATTTTATATGAAAAGAGGAGAAAGGGAAAGATTTTCAAAGTAACACTGGGCAAGAAAACAAACAACAAACGGGAAAAAAAAAAAAAAAAAAGAGTTAGGAAAAAAAAAAGGGAGGTAAAAAAAAAAGCCTAGGTACAATTTCACAAAAACTTCAAACAATCGCGTCTTTGGTTTTGGTGGAAGCATTCGAAAGATCAAATCTCTTCTACAAGAAGAAAGGAGAAAAGAGAAATGTTATTTGTAGCTTATGTTATTTGTACCTTACCTTTGATATTGATTGAATATTTAGCAATAAATTGTTTGAACAACTTTTTGTTATGAAATACTCCGTCCTATTTATAAGGCACTTCCAACATATTTCACACAAATCAAGAAAAACATTAAACTATATTAACTCTCCATTAAAATATAGGAAATTTCCAACTTTATTTCTATTTAATATATACATCTTTCAAAAAAATAGCTATTTATACTATAATAAATGAATGACAATATATTACATTCATGTAAAAATTTAATGAAGTGATTTATAAATAAGACCAAAAACAACTTTCTCTCTACTCTATAAATAAAACCGGAGGAGCATGTAGTGTGGAAGTGGGTGTACAAATTATGTGAACCTTATGGTTTGAAGATAGCATAATAACTGGGAGGAAAAGCATGGTCTCTGCGTGGCAGCATCTGGTCATTTATTGCAATGTTAATTGAATTCTTGCACAGCTGGTTAGGTAGTTAGCTGGTCATTAATTTTGTTTCCCTTGTTGATAAATAAGTAGCGGGATGCTGCTTCCCTGTTTCATGTATGGGGGCTTGTTTCAGTCACTTTTGTATGTGGAACGGTGGAACCTGCCTTTCTGGGGTTTCTTGTTAACCTGTCACTTACCTTATTGAGTGGGATATGTAAGAAAATACAAAATATATAAATATTACGGATGGAGTATGAATTTGATTTGATCATTGTGTATTATGGACTTTGAGTTTTAGATAGTGGTAGGGCATAACTCAAGTGCATTTACTTGAACATTTGCTATCAGGCACCATATTGTAACAATTTGAGAACTTGGAGCCTCGTCTAATTAAAATGCTACATTACAATATCTAACAATTGCAAATTTTTCATGTCATTAAACGTATAACAGCTTTGTTGGAGAACTTCTTGATCGTCAAGAGAATAAATCTACACCATATACTTGATGGTATTGTGCTAAATTGGTATAACATGCCCCTTTCACCCCTGTATTAACCATAATATCCATTCTTCTAAGTCACTTGCAAAGTCAATATATGTTTGAATTTAAAGCACGATGTATCAAATCTGGAGCTCTGTATTCAATTTTATCTGCCTGGTGCATTTGTCAGAAATCATCATCTCATTTAGTGCCTGTCTATATTGAGTCCCCCTGTTCTGCTTTGAATATATGGTCTTCAGTTGATGTTCAGAATCCCTGAAGTCTCTTTTATTTCTTTGTGACACAGATCTTTGTTTGTGTAAAAGAAAAAGGAATATGACCAGATGAAAACATGGGATCAATACCCCTTCTTACGCTATCATTTAAAATTCTCTGACTTGATTCCTTAGGTTACGCATAATTGGCCTTTAACCGCACCATTGCCATCTTATGGAAGAGGGAGAGAGCTCCCTGGAGGTAGATATATGAGTTTTATCCATGGCGATGGAGTCAATGATGTGGTAATCACTGGTGGGTATCTAATCTTGCTGTTTTATGAGGCAATTCTGCAGAAATATTTCAGGAAAAAAATGTAATTAAATTAAAAGCCATGCTGATACTGCATGGACATATTTTACTGGACATCTTGAAACCTGTATGTTCATTTATACTCATACTTTTTCCTCTCATTCATGTATTCACAGGTGAGAATGGGACAATTGATGGGCAAGGAGATATATGGTGGAACATGTGGAGGAAGAGAACTCTTCAATTTACCCGACCAAGCCTTCTTGAATTGGTGAATTCCACCAATATTATCATTTCAAATTTGATTTTCGTTAACTCTCCTTTCTGGAACCTACACCCAGTTTACTGCAGGTATAAATCAAATGAGGCTTGATAAGTTAATTTTAATCTATGGACTACTATAATTATTATTTATATGCTTGTTCTTTGTGGGAACATTGTTTTAACATGAAGGTTGGTGAATTTGTAGGGTCAGATTGTATTGGTAACCTGTATTCTGATCTAAGACTTCTTTCATCTTTGCAGCAATGTTGTTGTTCGATTTGTCACAATTTTGGCCCCACATGACTCACCTAATACTGATGGAATTGATCCTGGTACATACTATCTAACTATATCACGATGCAAATGGATTTGAGAAATACTGCACCGATCAACCTCCCTCTTTGTCTGTTTTATTGAGTTGTTGAACTTTTCTTGTGAGACTGCTATACCTGGTTTCATGCTAATTTATGTTCCCTGAAGGAAAAGGGAAAACGTAGTGATTCCTCAAGGTCATTGAAAATGGATGAATTGAGAGTTGAGACTTGGACAAGTATCCCATCTAGATATTACTTGTATGCATGTTTCCCCCTCATTTATTGGATGATCAACACCGCTAAATTCCAACTCTGATCCGGTAGTAGGATTTGGAGCATCAATAGAATTATAGGATAAAGAATTGACATTTTAGATTTGGTGAATTAAGTAACTGACATTCAACAAGGCAATTTTTGGGTCAGACTTGCCTGTTATGTCTACAATGTCTATATTCGTCAAAGAGTGGCATGTTAGTGGACTGACAAGCGGGGAGTTAGTGATACAACTAACCTTCGTCTTTCCTCCCCCCCCCCCCTGTTATGTCTACAATGTCTATATTCGTCAAAGAGTGGCATGTTAGTGGACTGACAAGCGGGGAGTTAGTGATACAACTAACCTTCGTCTTTCCTCCCCCCCCCCCAAAAAAAAAAAATAGAGGGACAAGCACTGATCTGAAGTTATGAGTAGAATTGAATCTGCGACCTCTTACCCGGGGGGGGGATTTTATACCACTGGACTATAAGACCATTGGCTAACCTTTATCTTTCCAAATCATTTGTGCAGATTCTAGTTCGAATGTCTGCATAGAGGACTCTTACATATCTACTGGAGATGATCTTGTTGCTGTGAAGAGTGGATGGGATGAATACGGGATTGCTTATGGTCGACCAAGCTCTGATATTACCATCCGTCGTGTAAATGGATCTACACCATTTTCTGGAATCGCAGTCGGCAGTGAAACCTCCGGAGGAGTTGAGAATGTACTTGCAGAACACATCAACCTATACAACACGGGAGTTGGCATTCACATAAAGACAGACACTGGCAGAGGAGGGCAAATAAGGAACATAACCGTGCTTGATGTGTATGTAGAGGGTGCAAGGAAGGGAATAAAGATTGCCGGTGATGTTGGTGGCCACCCGGATGACAAATTCGACCCTAAGGCTCTCCCCATTGTCAAGGGAATCACAATTAAGAACGTTCGAGGTGTGAAGGTTCTGCAAGCAGGTCTGATACAAGGATTGAGAAATGCCCCTTTTACTGGTATTTGCCTCTCTGACATCAATTTTCTTGGAGTGAAAGGATCTGCTAGATCTCCTTCTTGGAAGTGTTCTGACGTGCTTGGAGCTGCTCATCAGGTAAGCCCATGGCCATGTTCGGCGTTGACCAGCAATCAACCAGGATCATGTGCTAATCACTCCCAAGTTTAATAAAGATTTTAGCTCGCCGTACTCAATGATAATTACAAAGATTTTCTTTCCTTATTGAACATTCATTATGAAAGCCGAAGGTAATGAATTACTTACAGTTCCAATATGGTCGAATTTGGTGTCACCTCTCCAGGGCCATACAGTTGAGCGAAGCAGTTAGATTATTCTCGAGCTAGTCTAGGCATGTCAGGACGTGTCTGGATGTCCAGGACAGTCCAAGACGTGCCCGGATAGGATATTGATTATTAAGGTCATTCCAGGAGGTTACTCTGATCAATAGGACAAGTTTACTTTGATCAATAGAACAAGTTTCATCGTATATTTTTTCACAGTCATATTATAAATCTCGTGATGTTTCATTCCTTACGATATTTATAATGTCCAACTTTCAGTTCTCGGACTTGTATCTCCTACATATTGAGATTAAATCTGAATGGTGCTAAAAATAATTTAAAAAATTTAATTAGATCTAGATTTTGTGTGGTGCTGCGTTGGGATCCATCTGGGAACATGCACACCCATACAAAAACCAGAAAGAGAGGAGGATATTACCGCATCATCACTTCACTATCACTATGGATGCATTGACGAGTATCAAATTCAGAATTCAAAATCCACTCAGATCTCCATCAATTCTAAACTTCAAGAAATGAAGCATCATGTTGACATGGTTCCACAGCAATCGCATCACTGGAGTCCATCAGCAATTTCTTTTTTTTTTTAATTTTAAATTAATGGAACATGCGTTAATGGCATAAGGAATTCACGATGTCCCACTTATAAGAGAGTTTAGAGTTTTTATACTATTAGACTACAAGACCATTGTTTATCAACAAATTCAAGTTTGAAAATTAAGAGCTTGTTTGGTTTCTTATTTTGAAAAACAATGTTTTTTTTTTTAATTTTTTTGAAAAAAATTACTTAGTGATTTGCTTTTAGTTGATTGTTATAGAAAACAAAAAACAGTAATATGTTGTTAGAAACTAAAACATCAAAACAATTTTTATATTTTTTTTTTGTTTTTGTATTTTGTAGGTTTTGTTTTGAAAAACAGGAGAATTCTCATCTCACCCACCACTCACGTATCACCGCGGTGACTACTAATAGCTGCCAAATGTGACTTTTCATTTCAAATGTGAATTTTTAAAATAATTATCCAAACATTTTTTTTTCTTGTTTAATTCTCTAAACTTATTATAAAATTGTTTTGAGAATAAGAAAACAAATAAAACAAAAACAAAAACAAATAAGCCCTAAAATTCTGCTTTCTCTTAAATCGTCTCTGTATTTTTGCAATGCCTGCAAAAACTGACAATCATCCTTGAGCCCTTATCTGTGCAGATTCACATCTTTTCCCTTGTGCTGGAACGATAAAAGGGTTGAGACTTGAGAGCGCAAGGTTTATTTGGATTATGGTATTCATATTCATCGATATCAATATTAAATAAAAAATAAATCTTATTGTTCTTCCGTTGATAAAAAATGAAGTTCATTTGAAAAAAAACAAATCTAATTGTGAAAACGAAAGACAAAATGTCGTATTGGTACTTTAGCACCATCAAACTTGAAGTAGAAGGAGGACCTAAATAAATAAATAAGCAATATCAATATTTAAAAAAAAAAATTTAATTTATAAGTCTTGTGATCATAAATGCTGATTCATTTCTTGGAATTTAAAAGCAACATTCAATCTAAATGGAATGAATAATTGAAACACATTTATGAATTGGATCCGTGAGTCCTCTAGCATTTCCACGACATATTGCTTTCACAATCTCATGGTTTTACACCCTCCAGATAGCATTCCTTATTTCCTATATTGAAAATTCGACATCCCTTATCTTCTGTCTGTCTTCTCCATTCTTGAACCATTCACTAGCATCAATCTAACTCTTCTAAAGAGCTCCTTTTATCCTCTTTTTTTTCACACTATTATTCGGTATCCAACTAATACGATTTGAGGTTTGTGGCTACCCCTCATATCTCCTTTAAGATTTGAACTTGAGACCTAGAGACATCTAGTGGAGCCTTACACAACTAGAGCCACTTGGTGTTGGTGGCTCCTTCTATCAATTTGGTGGTGAACTAAGTATCAAAGTGCACAATACTCAGACATTACAATACAGTACACGACGGAGAATGAAAGGAGCAGTGAGCAGAACAAATTATTGGATAAGCTAATTCAGGAACAAAGGTCGCAAGAAATTTGTGTGTAGCCATTCTGTTGTGTTTTCCTGTTGAGGGATTTCCGGGCAATATCAGTAACAAAATACCCTTGTGATTTGCAGTGTTCACAAGGAATTCAAGATCCGAGCATCCTGGCATCACAAACAGCTCTGGTTTTAGCTCCTTCCACCGTTCCTTGACGGGAAAGAGCCGTTGATTATCTATTGCCACGAAGGTTCCCCAATCTCGTCACTCAACTGTCCAAGCTTTGAACATCATCAATAATTTGTCAGATAGCAATGCCTGCAGATCAGTTTACTTCTGCATATTTTTTTGTTCTGAATATTGCTTTAACATTAGTATAAGAATTAGATAACTAATTTGAAGATATCAACAAAATTAGTTAAATTGGTTATTTGTCACAATTGTGTGTTAATCCCCCTAAACCATTATCTCCAATTATGTGCATTGGATGTCCTTTGGTGGGAACCTCTTGCAATTAGCAGGGATATTTTGGGAATAGATGGGAGACCAAGTGAATGAAGGTCTTATATTTAAGACCAAATTCAATAGCTTTATTTGGATCTAGCAAGTTGAGGGAAAACCAACACCACCTTTAGATAATACAAGAGGTTTTCAGGTGCAAAGCATATTAACTTCTAATGAAAAGGCAATACTAACTTATATGATGGAAGACTATACTAATTCCTTGCCATAGACACCAGAGTTTCCAACATCAATCAACCAACATCCTCAGATAGAGGATGTTGATGAGATCCTCAAGGATCATCGTGAGCTCCAGACTTAAGGCCGTTTGGTTTCGTGTATAAAACCACCAAAACACAGCCCTTATACAGTGTGAAATCAAACAACCATCAATAAGCCAAATAGGAGGTGAATTTTACTGGTCAGACTTCCTAGTAGTTTACTGCCACAAAAATATTGGCTATGCCTAATCAATGAAACACAATTACAAACTCCAAACAACCCAGATATAGGCCATCCTTTTATAGAAATATGTTCAAAGACCAGCCATGTTCAGACTCTGATATTCCTAAAAAATTCTGGTCAACAAATCAGCTACTGATTCATCAATTCCTGAGTTTAATTTCTCACTTTATCCTGAGGAAATCGATCCAATTTCTTTACGCCTAACAACAATGTCATTCAAACAGATAAATTCTCCATAGTCCAAATCTTCATGAAAATATATCAGTCATTAGAAACTGAAGCACAATTACATCATAACAAGTTAATTACAGGTAGCTTAACAAAAGAATGTATTTTAAGCAAACAAGTAAAGCTCATTAAAGCTTTATGCGTCATCCAAAATTTTTTAACATTGCATTTCTATTAAAGGTGAAAATATTCAACAAGTCTGGCATCTCATACAAGAGTATAATATTGGAAACTACAAGAGTATAAATATTCAACAGGTCAAATTTTTTAACCTATGTACGACTTTTCTTCTTCTCCTTGAAATCTGAATCAGAAGTGACCTCATTTTCTTCTGAATTTTCTGCATTGCGGAGGCCCTCTCTCAGTCCCAACACAATGAACAAATTAGTCAGAGTAAGAAGTGACTCGGCACCACCGTGTAACCAATCCACATTGGACAAAGAAGTCCCATAATGCACCTTCGCTGTCATGTCATGTAAACAGAACTCAGACATCCTTATACTAATTTAAATGATGTCAAGTAGAATGCATCTTTTGGGAAAAGTGAAATTACCATAAATTCCAGCTGGTACTGCTCAATGGTGATATCAACAGGGCGAAACAGGGTCCAGAACACAAGAAATCAGAAAAGATTGTACAATCAAGAAAGAAGCATCTGCCAAAAGAAATTACAGTAGGGGCCTAGCAGGCAATCATGCTGTAAATGAATGCAAATATCAACGTGAAAAATGAAAGCAGATTTTATCTTCAAGCGAAAATGAGAGAAGAATTTTGTATAAACTTCCACTAGTATTTTCTTTAACAAAAACATTGGACATTACAATCGACACAAGATATCAATATATCAGTATAAAATAAAGAATTTATACAAAAGAAATATAGCAAGTTGTTCATAAGCTATCAAGAGGGTAATTGATTCCTAGGCACATATGCTTATTTGACTCAATGGCGTGCACTACATTGATAATCTAGGATAAGTGGATGAATTAGAATGAAAACTGCGCAAACTAGCATATTGTGAAAGGAAATTACTGAATCGCCCCGGCCCATATAATAAATCATCATCTCTCTATTTACCAACAAACACAAGCTGTCAAAATCTGTTATTGATTCTGACCGCATACGATTTCTAACAAAGCAATTGCATTAAGGGGGATGCGAGAATCAGAACAACTCACTTGTGGCGCCAACAAAAGCAAGCAAAAAGTAGAATCCAAAGAGGGTAAGCCTAGGAGAAGACTTAGACTTCGTAATGAAGTACAAGAAGCCAATGTAGGGAAGCAAGGAGATGGCGAATAGTTGGGAAGCTATGCTCTGCGAATCAATGGTTGGAGCCCATGGATCAACTAGGGGCAATCCGCAGACAATTCCTCTTCTTTTTGAAGAAACGTTTGTGTCACAGTAACTATTGAATTGCCTCATTCTTGTCGGTGAGAAGATGTAAGCATATTGACCAGAAGAAGAAGAAGCCAGAAAGCTGGATGGGATGAGAATGTCGGAGGTTCTACAGAGGGAAAGAGGGAAGTTTAGTGCCATTTGGTAAACGCGTGCCTTTTGGCCGCTTCAGTTTCAGATTTTCTTTCGAATGACAACCAAACCATTTAAACATGTGGCCTGTTCTTCGGCTTGATCTTATGGACGCTAAACGGATCGTTTAGACTGTTTGGTTTAGTATTTTAATGATTTTGCCTCCAATGAGGCAGCATGCGGAAGAAATTTAGAACTGGTTAATTTAATATGTGAAAAAAAAATTTTACTACCTTCAGTCCTAATTATAAGAGCTAATTGACTAATTTGAGGAGATTAAAGAAAGAAATTAAGTTAGTTATTTAACATAAATAAGTGTTGTCTTTCCTAAAATATCCTTACTAATCAAGTGTATTAGCTAGAACTACTATTATTAGAAGAACTATCTTAACAAAAATGCATAAATACTACCTCTGGTCCTAATTATAAGAGCTAATTGACTAATTTGAGGAGATTAAGGAAAGAAGTTAAGTTAGTTATTTGTAATAAATAGTTGTTGTCTTTCCTAAAATATCCTTGCTAATTAAGTGTATTGACTAGAATTATCATTGTTAGAAGGACTATCTTGAAAAAATGTACAAATATGATAGACAAAATAGGCAATTAGCTAAATATAAGAACCCAACTGGCTCTTATATATAGGATAAAGTAGATTGGAGTCTTATATTTATGATTAAAATAAAAGTCAAACGAGGTCCTATATTAAGCACCGGAGGTAGTACTTGGTAAGATGCAAAAGTGATATTTGAATGTGATTTGAAAATAATATAGGTTGCATGTGTAGGTTAGATGACTTCAATATGCCTTATTCCGTGAATTTATAATTTTATAAGATAAGATACTTAAATGCCTAAAAAAATTCACAAATAAGTACAAAGTTTTTTTTTTTTGCTCTTATATATTCTTCCTCATATTCTAGGTACTAGGCATTTACGCATAATTAAAAAAAAAAAAAACTTTTTAGTGCTGAATGCTCTTTTGTGAATATTTTCAAAGTATTTAAGTGTCTTGTCCCCAATTTTTTTAAGAAAACCAATCTATATACACTTTTTTTAACTTAATTAATTTTTTTAATATTTATAAATTAATTATTTAACTCTTATACGTTTAAACTCGATAAAAGTATATACTTTTGCTGAATTTAAATATAATGCTAATTTTTCAGTTCTCAAATTTTGACTATTAGCTCTCCTACTGTTAAAATTAATGATTTGTCATATCAAAATTTTTATGTTTTTTATTATATATATCATGTCAATGGAAAAATAATAATTGGCATTTATCATGTAATTTTAATTACTTTATACTTTTATATTTAAAAAGAACATGATTCGATAATTTTGAATAATTTCTTAAGTATGTTATATTTTTAAAGTACTTAAGTATTTTATTTTAGATATTTAAAAATATTTAAAATTACATGTTAAGTGTTAAGTGTTATTATAATAAAAAAATATTAAAAAATTTTCACATAGTAAAAACCGTTAACTTTAATAGTTATTTTAACGGCAGGGTTAATTCAATATTTTAAAGGTTAGAAATGTGGTATACCACTTTCAAGAGGCCTATATTTTAGCTGTTTTGTTGTTGATGTGAGTCGGCCCTGGAGGAAACTTATTTGAGAAGTGAACTTGTGAATGGCTTTGCATGAGGTAATTGGGTGGAAAGTACAGCGGAAGCACTCCTTTATTATGGGTGGTTGATTTCAAAAAAAAAAAAAAAAACAGATACTCCTCTAATCCAATTTATACGAGAGAGAGGACATTTTTTTTCCTATTGATAGAGTATTAAGAGAAATTTTTTACATTAATGTACTATTTTACCATTTATTTATTATTGTGTTCATTTTATTTATATGAGGTATAATATATATTAAATAGAGATAAAGTTAGAAAATTGTTGAATTTTAAATGAGAGCTAATAAAATTTAAGGATTTTTTTTGTTTGTGTAAAACATGTTGAAAGTGATTTATAAATAAAAGTAAATGATTAACTTGTTATCCTTTTAACTATAAAGTAAATTCATCTCTTTTTGTGCTTTGTAATGCTGTTGCGGAGTGATAAATCATTTGTTCTTTAATTATCAATGATCTAGAGAATTGTTAAACTTCACCACACGGATTGGATTGACTCCAAAGAGATTAGTAGAAGATATATAGAAAATGGCAACAAGCTCTAATAATCTATATAAAGAGAAAACAAGATTAAAAGGAATGTATTGTAAGTGGTGGTGACTGACTAACTATAGTGGGTTAACATATATGAAAAGAGATAAATTTTACAATATTGTAAAAACCGGATTTATCTTTAACAACTTATTATGCGTATGAGCTCACTTTTCCTCTTGCCTCATTTAGTAACTCAAGAACACATGTTAATATTTACTTTTATAATTTCACTTTCTTGAGCAATGTGAGACTAGTTCATTTTGACACACCTACACTATAACTCCAATCAATTATTATATGATTATGAGGAAGAAACATAACAGTGAATGATAAGCTCAAATATTAAAAAAATAACAATAATATTCATGCTACCAACTTATCATTGGAACTTTTTAAATTATATTTTTTTTCTTTGGAAGCTCATAATGATTTCCTAATCAGTCAATGCTAAAATGAAAGCATGGCTTCCCAAAAAGATAAAATCAACATAAATATTGTTTTTAATAAATTCCAATATTGTTAAGAAACCCTAATTTTGCTTCTTATTTTTCTTTTTTCTTTTTTCTTTTTTGGTATTTTTTGCCACAGCAACAGTTTTGAAACAGTCTATGAAAACCCTTTTATAAAAGATAACTTAGAAGATGTTTGAATTAACCTTTTAAAAGTGATTTTACCATATACAATGCAAGTTCATCAAAAGAATTTTAATTAAATTTGAGTAAAAATATTATTTTTAAGTGCTTTTAGGGACCGGTCACCCCTAATCTTCTATACCCTTCTATTTGTGTTGTATATTGCTGCCGCTTTCGGAATGAAACTAACAATAACCACCCCCCTTCAAAACACACCCAAAAAAAAAAAAACAAGGCGTGTATCCGAACCGCAGTGCAGCGTGGATTTTACCCCATGAAGGAGAATAGATCAAAAAATACCAACAAAGGCACAACTTTTCAAGACTCACTTCCAAAAGGTTAGCATCTCATTAAATATAATTATACAAACAGTGGGACATTTCGGCTTCGGAGATATCAAGACAACATAGCTTCCACGTCAAAGAAGCTAGTGCACATAGTACACCTTTTTCTTCTCATGAGGGGAGGAGATTTAGTCACTTTCCTCAAGAACTTGACCCAAATGGAATGTGCTTTTGAGGCGCAAGCAATGATAATTAATGATGCTTAGCTCTTTTGAGCATCTCCCAAGAGCCCAAAGAATCTGAAGAGACTTGTTTACCGCATGGAAATGGTCAAGAGAAGTAAAAAGACTAAGAGGTGGGCTGAAAAGCAGCCTGCTGATGCCAAACACCATTGAGGTTAGACTGCCACAACCGAACCATTCCATCATGGCCTGTAGTAGCCAAAGTCATTCCACTCATATCCCATTCCATCTGCCACACCTAATCAAAACATTTAAAAGAAACACATTACACTTCCACTCAATTTCAGCACAACATGCATGCTTCTATTGATTTTTCTTCGAACTATATTCACATAAATTTCATGTTACGAAACAGGGATAAAACATTCAGAGGGTATTTGAAAGAAAACAAAATTATATTGACTTAAAATATCAATTCAAGCCCAATAATGACAATATGAACGGAGAGAATGTAATTAAAATGGCAACTATACCTCGCCCTCATGTCCTGACAAGAGTACAATTCTGTCAACTGGGAGTATCCCATCATGATCAGGATTCAATCCAAGCTGCCATATTGCAAGTCCCCTGTGAGTTGCAACCGCAATTGTCTCGTACGGCCTGTCAGAAAATTATTCTAGTTATGCCAATTATTATAACGGATGGAGTTCTTTCACAATTCCTTAACAATAGAACTGAAAATAACCATAAACGGAGCCAACTAGTAGTAACTTCCTGACATTGAGTTACATGATAGCATAAGTCAGAATTTGATGCCTATCCAAAAGTCACAATAATCCAGCACTTCGATGCCAATTGTCATATATTTGTATCTTCACCTGCCAATGTTTGGAGCCCATGCAACAGCATAAACCTGATCACCCTTGTCTTCAGGCAGCGCCAGTTCTGCCACTGGAAGCCATCTTTGATGAGCCTGATCAAATTCCCATACCTGAGGAAAAACATAAGCACGCAGATGCAAATTAAAAGATATAGAAAATAGTTACTTGCCACTAAAATGTCCATATCTTCCCCATTGTCAAAGCCTATAGCATTTTAAAGGCTAAACACAGTCAACCAAAGAGATAGAGTGGATAATCCAAGGATACCCCTGATCTTCCTTGGACAAATGGAGACCGCTATGACAAATACAATAAAATATGACCAATGCACCATTGCAGACTTGAAGTACCTTGGAAGAATTAAGCTCTGATGTATTTGAATTGTAACCTATAATAAAGGTGGATTCCTGGCTTCCACCTTTCTGTGGATTCCACGATATGGATGCAGATAAGCATGTAGCCTTCCCAAATGCCGACACGGAGTCAATAACATTCTGAAATTCAGCCTGCAAAAGAGAGAACAAAACAAAAGAAGATAAAATCATTATTCTTGTGGCAGGGTTAAGTTGACCTTCTATTGTGTGACTCAAAGAAGCAGGGTATTGCTGAGAAGGACGAACTACTTTCACCTGAAGCTGCCAACTTTTCAACTCCAATGGATCCAGGAGCTCATACACTCTCACATAACCATCTGAATAGGCAGCCACCTAAAAATGGTAGTCAAAGAATTATTATAAAATCATCAACAATACATAAAATTTTTTCACGTTTATTCTCACAACATTTTATGTGAAGAAGATAAATTTTACCTGACGTAAGTAAACATCTCATAATGTAATAATTGATGGCTAAATAAGCATGAACAAAGAAATATGAATTTTGTATTCTAGTTAAATT